CGAAAAACTGTGACAATAACCGCCTCTGATCGAACAGATCGATATCCAATAATAATAATAATAATAATAATAATAATAATATGTGAAATAACAGAAAGGTACATTTTCACACAAGATTTGTGAAAAAAAGCGAAATGTAATAAAGGCTGAAAATTTGTTGTTCTGACAGAGTTGGTGCTGGAGTATTTTGAACACATCGGTATATAAGAAAAATAATTCCTGATCACAAAAAAAAAAAAAAAATCAGATAAAATTCTCTGAAGTTTCAAGAATATGATGGAAACCGGAAAAATGCGAAAGACTACAAATAATGTTTATATAGCAAACATGATCAGAACATTTTGCGTACAGTTCGAAATATAACACTGATAATTCCTCATTCCAGATATTCAGATATTAATCACTGAAATTTAAAGAATACAAAAATGACATGAAGGTGGGCGATGTTTGTGTTTACAAAAACACGAGATAGAAATGCTTTGGAGCAGATTGAGGTACAATCATGATAATTCTCCATTCAAGAAATTCTGTTAAAAATCTCCGAAAATGTAAAGCGGCTCGAAAAAAATTTTGTTGTGGTTTTGACAAAAATGATGAAGATATTTCTATGAATAAATCGTTTTTTTTTTATTTCTTACAATAAAGTTCACCCTGTACAAGGACCAAGATCTACTCGAGATAGAGGGTTACAGAGTAAGAAGTAAAAGGCAGTGTTTACGGGGATATGTAGGGAAGATAACTGGTAATTGGCTTCAACAGGTTAAGATATTAGTGATCGAGGAACCATCCACTCTTGAGGAGGTTCTACAAAGTAGCGGTTCCCGGGAAGATCGAGTTGAAATTACATCTCAGCAATGGAATACGATGAAAATGAGCGTGGTTCTGTACAACATGCTTGGGGTTTCTTAACCGTCATCGCGAGAACTGTTCCTCTGATCAGTTTCTATAGAAACAACCATAGATTAGCGAGAGGCCAGCAACGATTCAGGTAATAATAATAATAATAATAATAATAATAATAATAATAATCAAGATCATAATAATAATAATAATCAAAATAATAATAATAATATTAATCAAAATAATAATAATTCACTAGGAATTTTCAGGCAAATATCATACATAATAATGTGGATCCAAAATGCAGGTTCTGTGACAAATACCAAGAAACAATAGACCATCTAATCTCAGGATGTTCTATACTTGCCCCAAATGAATATAAAAATCGTCACGATAGAGTGGGGCAATACTTACACTGGACAATGTGCAAACACTTTGGAAAATGTGTAAGCAAACACTGGTATGAACATCGGCCAGCGCCGGTTACAGAAATAGAAGATGTCACCATTCTATGGGATTATACCATCCACACAGACAGAAAAATTGAAGCAAATAGGCCGGACATTATTCCAAAAAAAACCAGAAAAAAAAAACTTGCCTACTAATTGATATGGCTTGTCCAGCGGATTGTAACATAGCAACCAAGGAATTTGAAAAACTATCAAAATACAAAGACCTGGAAATTGAAATAGAAAAAATGTGGAAATTGAAAACAAGAATAATACCAGTGGTAATAGGTGCACTTGGAATTATAAAAAATGGAACAAAACAACACATTGAAAGAATCCCTGGAAACCCCAGCTTAAGAGACATACAGAAAATTGTCTTATTAAGTACAGCACACACACTAAGGAGAACTTTGTCTATGTAACGCTAGCAACTTCATCGGAGATAAAAAAAAAAAAAAAAAAAAAAAAATTAACATGAAATGTGGCCATAACAACACACCACGACCTGCCTTAGGTCTTTCCGCAGACTTGGTAGGTAGTGTGTCCATAGCAGAAATCGAATGATGATGATGATGATGATGATGATAATAATAATGAAAATCATAATAATAATAATAATAATAATAATCAAAATAATAATGATAATAATAATAACAAAAATCATAATAATGATAATAATCAAAATAATCAAAATCAAACTAATAATAATAATCAAACTCATAAAAATAATAATAATAATAATAATAATAATCAAATAATATTTTTAAAATTCTATGGGACTAATCAATAAGAAACAATGACAGAACAATTAAAGCCAACCGCTATAGAATATTGTTATTAAAGACCACAAACAAAAAATATTTGCCTTCTATTTTGAATATGGCAGTCCCTACCACCTGACTGCAATGTATCTTTGAAGATATCCAAAAAAGTTGTCAAAATACAAGGACCTGTTGAAATAGAAATCTCGAAAAATGGCATATGGGAACATCAACAATCCCTGTTATAGTTGGAACCCTAGGACTGGTTAAAAAGATTGCAGTAGACTAATTGAAGGGATTCCTGGAAATTCATGCCTCAAGGAGATACAAAAAATTTTTACAACAAGTACAGCCCACACTTTACGAAGGGCTTTATCTATTAAATATATATATATATATATATATATATATATATATATATATTTACATATATATATTTTTTTCAGTGGAATATGTCATGATCCCATTTCTAAATTGGGTTCCTGGGCGGGACACGGAAAGGAATGTGTAAAAGCCAGAAATCAAAGAAAATAAAAATAATGATAATAATAATCAAAATAATAATAATAATAATAATTATTATTATTATTATTATTATAACTATTTTATCATCATTCTTCCCAGAAATTCAAACAGAAAACTCAGAAAATTAAAGAATACGATAGAGACTTGTAAAGTTGGAAGCTATAACGACGTAATCATCGAGGCTATAACAAAAAGGATGAAGAGATTTCTTAGAACTATTGGATTTATAATAATGATAGATCCTTATACTAGAAATTCAGATAAACATCTGAAATTTAAAAAAGATACAGCAGAGACCAAAAAAAGTCTGAAGGCTACAGCGGCCAAATTATCGTGGCTGTAACAAACAAAATGAGGTAATTTCTTTGAACAGATCGATGTATAATAACGGTAATTCTTCATCAGAGGAATTCAGATAGAAGTAACAGAAGTTTTAAGAATATGACAAAGACCTGATGAACGCCGGAAGCTAGAAACGCTGAAACGTTGTAAGTATAACAGCCAAGTCCGAACAGATCAATATATAATGATAATAATAATAATAATAATTACTCATCTTAGAAATTCAGGCAGAAAGAATAAGACAGCTGAAGAAATATATATATATATATATATATATATATATATATATATATATATATATATATATATATATATATATATATATATATAATTTTTTTAGATAGATGTGTATCCAAAAAACGAATAATGACAACAGATGTGATAGCGTAACCTGGAATATAACCAAAAGAGGAGTGAACTAGCAAAGTGCTTGTCGAATTATTGAACAGAAGCCATTTTACCTCCTTCCCATTCAATTTTGGCTAATCAACGAATCGTTCTGCGCCGCTTCTTTGTCGCTTTGCGATGCAGTCACTCGAGTGCCACACTTTGTTTTCCTAGTTTATTGTCGATAACTAAGGGGTAAACGCGCGAAAATTCTTCTGCCCTATTCTCACTTACCCGCCCTCTCATTATCAAACAAATTTTGTAATTGATTCGTGCAAGAAGCTTCTAATCAACCGAACTGCTTACTCTTTTATACTCACCTATATACGTATATCGATATATGAATGGATATGTTAAGCATATATTTAACTCTCACCTCTCTTTACACACACACACACACACAGACACACACTGAATATTCCATTTATATATATATATATATATATATATATATATATATATATATATATATATATATGTTGATTTTACGTTTTTCACCGTGATTTACTGTTTGATGAAAAAGAAAAATTGTCTTTTTCTCTATGTATTTGTTTTTATTTTCTTGGAAATCATTTTCGTTTTCTAATGTGTGTCTAGTTTTTTTTTTCAGTTTATATTCCTTTTTATACAAGATGCACAACGTGTTTCCTTCTTAAAAAAAGAAACTATTTTCGAATTATGTATATGGAATAGCGCGTCATTAAGTCTGGTTTTTGAAATTGTTTGCTTTCTACCCACCGGTACCTCTGTTTGAGAGTTCCTGCCCAGGTAAGGGCCAGAGCATTCGTGTCAGTCAGGCCTTTCACTGACCATCATTTTTTATACCCTATGTCACTGCTAGACATGGGTGATCATGGATCTACACAGCTGCATCTCCAGCAAGGAAAGCTAGGCCACTGTGCCGTGCCAGAAAAATTTTCTTGTCAGACTCCATGTTGCCAATTTACCAATCTATTATTCGTCCGTTTGAATTTTGCTGCCATATTTGTTCTGTTGTTCCTGCTATTCATCTCGAGGTTCTTGACAAAATTCAAAGAAGGATCTGCAATGTAATCGAAGCTAACCAGTCATCTCAACTTCCGTCACTTGCTCACTGACGTCACCTGGATACTCTCTCTTTTCTACAAATATTTTCATGGCAACTGCTCTGACAAGATTTTTCCTGGTGCGCCGAGTACATGAATTTAAGCGTGCTAGTAAATTGGTGTCTAGGTCCACCCATTTACTCTTGAAATAGCCAAATGCAACCACCACTTCTACTTCAACATTTTCTTTTTGCGCACATCCCACCTACGGAATGCCCTTCCGTTGATATTCTTCCCTGATAACTACAATCTTAAAAACTTTAAATGCAGCGTCAATGACCATTTCCTATCATCTTGAATCTCGTTCATGTTTTGTTCTATCCTTAATCCTCCCTATACTCAGTATATTTCTCTCACTTTCACTCCCTGTAACCCCCTGCGTACTAGTGACATTTCCGCCTTGCTTGGGGTGAAATGATTTTTTAAAAAAATTCTTTGCCTTATAATTCTAAATAAC